TATAAGTGTGAAACCTGACTTTGCAGAATGTAATGGTTGTGTGATCTTGGGTGAGTCACTTAACTTCTTTAAATTTCTGTATCTGTAAAATGAGAGGAATTATGATGGCATCTTAACCTGTGGGGTTTTGGGAAAGATTAAATAAGTTAATATTTGTAAATTGCTTAGACCAGGGTCTGACACACAGCAGGCACTATGTATAAGTTTATTAATAAATACACTTTAGGGTGGAGGTACCTTCCATACCAGGAGAAGAACCCAACACATTCCTCCTTAGGAAGGCTAGAATTAGAGCCAACCAAAGGCACAAAAATTTCCTGTGAATTAGGGAACCATGGTAGCTAAGCAGTAAGTCAGAATGTAAATATATATACTCTAGGATAAGATAAGTCTGAGTTTAAATCACACTTCACCACTTACTGTCTGTGTTACCTCGAGCAAGTCACTTTACCTCTCTGAGCATCACTTCTCTCATTTGTAAGAGAGATGAGGATACCTCATGTACATGGTTATCCCCCAGATGGTGATATATGTATGAAAGTAACTATGACCCAGCCAGCCCTCAATCAGGGGTTGCTGTTGTCACCACTGTCCCCATCTTTTCTGCCTAGAAATAAGAAGAAAAACACAGCAAGAATTAAGAGTGTGAGTGTAAGCAAAGACTCCAAGTAGCACATCAACATTAAAGGGCTGGGGGTAAACTTGAAGGTTGAAAAGTGCATTCAATATTATAATATAGATTAATAGTTAGAAAGAGAAAAAAATCACTATTATTTTTTTAAAAATAGACCAAATAAAGTGATGTTCAACTTATCTCTCTGCAGAAAATGACTCCTTGGAAAATTGCCAGATAGGAAAGTCAAGGTGAGGGGATGGGCTGGGAAGAGTTCAATTTTCAAAAGGTGTCATATCTCTCTGAAGCAGGTACTTAAAAAGATCAAAAACTCAGGCATATGGTGGCTATGATTTTTTTTAAAAATCTCAATAAATTTTTTAAGGCCAAAGTATTTAATGGATTAAAGAGGGACATTTTCTGATTCAATGTAGAATACATAAAAAAATGAATAGGATCAGTTTTATTTATTTATTCATTCATTCATTCATTCATTCATTCATTCATTCTAATTTGTTATACATGATAGAAGAATGCATTTAAGTTCATGTTACACATATAGAGGACAATTTTTCACATCTCTAGTTGTGCACAAATTAGAGTCACAGCCATACATGTACTTAAGGTAATGATGTCCATCTCACTCCACCATCTTTCCTACCCCTGTACCCCCT